CAGCAGAGTGCCTGCCCGTTTCTAACCATGCGACCAGTGTTGTCTCCACAGGTACTTTTTAAAAATAATATTGCTCTCTGTAACGCTCGTTTGTAGTGCTTTTAGATATGTGTGCATCAAGTTTTATGATATTTGAAGTGTTTGATATCGGTGTTATGTGAGTCTGAAACTACTTCAGAGTGGAAGCATTTTCATAAAGCTGCATCATGTGTAAATCAGGAACACTCTAAATGTTTGCATTTCAGTCAAATTTTAGCTTTCTCCCAGCTTGTTAAAATAATAGGCTAAAGTCAGCTGTCATTACAATAACTCAGAACAGGTTTAATGCTGACATTTTTTTGTGCCTACATAGTCTTCAGTGATGTCATGTAAATAATTAAAAGTTTGTTTTCTGTGCAACCACAAATTTTGATGACATAAATTACTTTAGACAGAAAACACATTTAAAACAGGTATAATATTAATTGTGAGGGCTTCCAAGAAGAGGGAAAAAAAACCCTAATTACCTCCTGAATAAAATAACATCTAATGTTCAAAACTGGTGACAGAAATCTCATCTACATTTTGGAAATTTTTGTTTGTGTGAATAATCCAAATAATTGCATTTAAACAATAAACTGTCAGAGACAGGGAGATAGTTTTTTTGCAGCCTCAGAACTTCAGAAGTGGTATTCCGCAATACAGAAGCTACTGAAAACTCTCAGGAATATAAATAGCTTTGCTTTATTTGAATCTACATAAAGGTAAGGTAAGAGCTTTACTCAAAATCCCAAAAAGAATCCGTTTGCTGAAGTGCATTGGAAATAAAATATTTTAACAATATGAAAAAGCATGTAAATAGTGAAAACTGAGCATCAGTAATACATAATGCAATCTCATTCTCCAGGCAGGAAGCTCAAAATATCCTAACACAATTGTTGGATAGTGGCTGTAGTAGGGAATAACAGAATTAAATTTTTTTTTGAGGCCATAATAACTTATCTGTGTCATAGCAGTATTTTCTAGATTGTTTATTTATCCATCTTGAACTACAAAAAATATATGTGGTGACTGGTAGAGCTACAAAAAACATTCACAGGTGTGTTTTAGGTTTTCCATACTTTGTAGTTAAAACTCAGGGACCACTGTTATCAGTAGAATTCTCTTCACAGCCTCACATCTAGCAGGTGACCATCTGAGAACAGAAGTGACTGAGGGTGCCATTTACAATGAGTAAGCTTACAGAATTTCATATGTGGATCCAGAAATTGCATTAAATAATAACATTTTGGTGGAAACAGATAAAGCAAACTTGTGCAAAAGAGTAGAAACAGAAGAATTTTGAATAATGACTTAACTTAAATGTAGAAATTCATTAAACAGCGTGTAATAATCCTGTATTCTTAAATAGAGTATACTTCTGTTCAAGAATTATACTATATCATAAACTAATATTCTGCAGTATCCTCTCTGCAGTTAAGTTGATATTATTACATTCAAATAGCATCTTCCTCCCTACCTTGTATTAAATCTTTATTAGTCAGGTGAAAATGGGAATTTTTAAGCATAACAATTATATTGATTTTGGATTATGAAATAACAATAGAAAAACAAATACCTACAAGTAAACTCCTAGATATTATTTCAAAAGAAAAGTTGCGTTGCTCAGCATGCATGGCTATTATTAATTCACTCTCTTTTAGATGAACTTATAGTTGTACAGGTATGACTCTTCCAGTAGCATTTGTATGCGTAAATGTGTAAATGGCATTTTACAGTTCTGATCACTGTTCTAAAAAACAGATACTAATCCTTAATTAATCATATTACTCTGAACACGTCGAATGTGTGCTCTGAAGTTCAGGTTTTCACGTTCACAAATATGAGTTTACAATATTATTCTTTACAACAGTTGTTACAGGGTACTGTATATTTCTGCTGCCTACTTACACAAGGAACACAACCATGTATTTTGCACTGAACAAAAAATTGTCTGATTCGTCAGGTACTGGGAGGTTACTGAGCATAGACCTGAAATACCTATATCTTCATCTTACTGATCTATAAACTGCTGACTTTCACTTCCCAGAGATTGCCAGATGGTTATGTCCTAGAATTAATGTTTGCAGGAGAACTAGATACAAGGATACTGTCTACCTCTGAACTGAAAGGATGTATCTTGAATCCTCATGCGTTTTCTTACCAGTCCCGTCTGTTTTGTCTTTGATACAAACTCCTAAATGTTCCCAACTCCATTTTGCTGTGATGACTTCGGGAAACGTGTCAGCAGGACTTCACTACTCTGTGCCCTCCTGTCACTATGGAAATCAACCCTCTACCTATGGGGTAATGACAGGTAAGAGGCAGCCTCAACTGAATGAACTATTAGCATAATGAGTTTGGTCAGCTCTCCTTTAGAGGAATAAGTTCGAAAGAGTTGCTTAAAGACAGGACTGGAGTTAAGGTGCTACAAAAGAGGTTAGCAAAGTAGGGTTCAGTGTCTTAAACTTAAACCTCTGTATCTCTCGGCACATCACTCTGTGTCTTACTTCTTTCTTTAAGACGGGGACAGTGCTGCTCTTTTCACTTACCTATGTCCACTTTTCCTTTTGAGGGATTAGGAATGACTTATCTGATATAAGTCTGATTATCTGATGGGGTTGTTACCAATATCTATGGTCCTGGAGCCTACTATTTCTTTTGTCTCCAAATACCAGAATCGTATGAGAAAAGGCAAAGCAATGAATCTACACAATGTTTGCTGAAGCTACTTTTAGCTGCCATATTTCTGTCATGAAGATCAAGGCAAATATTCTGTACCTAAGATGACTTAGTGTGTATAGAATCATAGTAAGTAGTACCAATGAGCACTAACCTGTATTTAATTCCAACAAAATTTAGGATCAAGGTTAGAAACAGAGAGCTACAATTGAAAGTTTTTTTCTTATTCTTATAATTTTTACTAATTTAAAGACATTGGGATAGCCTTTAAAGCCAGAAACACTTTCAGTCAGTGTATGATTTTCCAAATCCTATAAGGCAGTATAAATTACATTCATATAGATGATCATGTATTTTTACATTTAAAGGTATGCTAGCATCCCAGTCACATCCTAGGCTAAATGAAGTTACTCTGTGCAATTTTAAGTAGCCTTCAGTGAAACAGTGTCTAGAGCCAAATTAACATGCAACCCAGAAGATAAATGTTACTTGAAGATAATTCAGATCAAACTCCATGTTTGATTTCACTTAAGATTGATGAAAATACTACAGTAAATCAGCATGAATGAATATATCTGCATAGGGACTTCTTAGAGACAGAGAGTAGTGCAAATATTCAGAAGTTCTCATCTCATGGATAAATTCACATCTGTTGCATTGTTCAGATCCCCAGGTAAAATCCATAGGTATTAAACAATAGATATTAAAAACAGGTATTGCTCAGAAGTTTATTTTGTTTTGTTCCAAAATAAATGCATCTTCATCTTACTCCTTCCTTTCCTTTAATATCCTTCTTTGTCTCTAGGCATCAAGCCTGCAACTCCAGAGATGCTATCAGCAAGTCTCTCCCAGAGTCGCATCTTACAAACATGCAGCATGCCACATCCCAATGTAGTAAATGGTGTCAGCACTTTGCAAAGCAAGTCTTTCTCTTTTCCTTGTATTTCCTCTTATTCCTTGGAAAAATCTCTTTTGTGGATTTCCTGTGAGAAATGTATAATGTATTCCAATGGGGTAGAACCTCTAATACTAAAGACAGCTATCAGAGCAGTAAAGAAAACAAGTAGAGGAGGAATGTGGAGGGGTTGCTAATGAAGCTCTGAGTTCTGCTGCCAATGTTTGTGTCATTTAGAAAATTGAGGATTTCCTGGGGACTTAGACGTTATCATTCATTTCAAGTAACACTAAGGAGGTTTCATACTTCTAGTTTCTTCCTAATAAGTATGCTTTATCTCCTTCAGGTTAGAAATTCTTTCTATATAGGTGCAATACCTAGCAAAAAAAGAGCTTTCACTCCGACTGAATCTCCTTGTTAAGACTGATAAACATGAACAAAAAGTAGCACAAGGTAGCTTTATCCTTAAGCAATATATTTTTAAGCTAGAATGGTCACTGTTTTTCTCTGGGTTTTCCTAAAAAAAAATCTTATATTAAACCTTACCTAAACCTTACCAAAACATAAGGGCTGTTCTGAAAGTAATGTCTCCTGTTTTATTATGTTGGCCAATGATGTCAGAAGCAGATGTTGATGGTATGGCAGTAGAGGCTGAACCTTCCCACCAGGTGATAGATGGCAGCAGAGGGAAAGTCTAATAAATGATGTCCAACATGGAAGTTATGAAGGAAAAGTGTGACACTGAATTTTTCCATGAGGAAAAAATGGCACACACTGACATTCATCAATGCTTGCTGAATGTTTATGAAGACCAAACAGTGGATGTGAGCACAGTGAGGCAGTGGGTGGTACATTTCAGCAGTAGGGACAGTGACATGAAAGACAAGGAATGTTCTGGATGGTCACACACAGCTATCACACCACAAAATGAAGAGAGTCTTGGTCGGCTCATCTTCATGAATTGGCAGATTATGACCAGGAAGCTGTGTATGGCGCTGAACATCAGCTTCAATGCATTGGAAATGACAGTGCCAGTGTTGGAATAGAGCACAGTTTGTGACTGTTGAGTCCCGTGAATGTTCACACCGAAATAGAATGAACATCACAAGTGGATTTGTCAGGACCTATTGAACCAATACTGGGCTGAAAGTGACAGTTTCCTTGATGGCATCATTACTAATGATGAGGTGTGGTGTCACCACTACAAGCCAGTCCAAACAGTAGTCCGTGGAGTGGTAATATGAATTCGCCATTGAATAAAATGTTCAAGTTTCTGTCCTCAGAAGGCAAAGTGATGTTCACTGTCTTTTGGGATAGTAAAGGGGGGATCTTTCTGGATTTCCTGAAACGCTGATGACACTGGCTAAGCTGAAGGCTTGAACTTCCAGAGCAGGCCAGAGAAGAAAACAACCTCCTCTTGCAACACAACAATGCCAGGCCCCATGCCAGTTTGAAGACTGTGGAGCACATCATCAGTCTCCTCCGAACATTTAGTCTGCATTTGGAGTCTTTTTACTTCCATCTGTTTGGGTTGATGGAAGATGGGCTGCATAGACAACATTTTCCTAGCAATGACATCATGAGAGCAGCTGTGAAATAGTGGGTCACTTCTGCTGGTGCAGATTTCTATTAGTTTGACATAGAGGCTATTGTTCATCACTGGAGAAAATGCATAGCTAATGGAGGTGAGTATGCTGAAAATTAGTATCTTGTAACTGAGAATTTGCTCTACCAAGTAGTGTTATTGCTCTGTTACAGTGTCCGTGGAAATAAATAGGAGGCATTACATTCAGATTGACCTACATAATATCTGGTCTGGACATCATGTCTGGATTAGTGTTTGTTGGAATCTGGACTGCCATCTAATTTGATTATGTCACAATTTGTGCATGCAATGGGATGGCTGTGGTATGAGAAAGTAGATGTTGTTCTGCTTTTGTATAAGGGGACAAGAGAAAGACTGGGTCTTGTGGAAGATCCTTATCATCTCTCTTGCATAGCCTTTCACGTTACAAAAAAAAATATTACAATCTTTGGCTATGAGATTACAAAGGCACATTTTTTATAGTGTTGCAGAATAACTAATATTTAGTTTTCTTTTGGGTTTTGCTCAGGTAGCCTGACTCCTTGCCTTTATAAGTTCCCTGAGCATGCCCTGAGTGCCAGCTCTTGTGCCCTGGGCCACAGCTTCACACCCATGCACCAGACCCTCCTCAGTGATGATTCCACAGCTTCAGACTTCAAGCAGGAATTCCGCAGGAAAAGCAAGTCTGTGGAAGAGCCCGTCGACATGGATTCCCCTGAAATCAGGGAACTGGAGAAATTTGCTAATGAATTCAAACTGCGGAGAATTAAACTCGGTATGTGCTTTTAGCCAGCCAACAAAAGGCTGAAAATTTCCAAGGAGATACCTATTATTTCTAAATATTTTATGGTCTGGGCCATGCACTTGTCTCATCATAACTTTAATCCTCCTGGTCTGACTAACTTTCTCCATTCCTAGAAAACTTGAGAAGAATTAATAAATGTCAGCTTTTAGCATCTTAGTGTGACAAAAGTAACTTTAAATATTCCTTCTTTATGAATTATTTGTCCTGTTCACAAGAGCAAACAAAATTTATTCTTGTTCATTAAGTTCCATTCAGTAGCAGGTATGTTATTTCATATAGTTTCAGATTTTCTGCAGCTGAGAGCAGCCCATGAGCTGATCTTTTGTACCCATTCCTTTCCCCATGAAGTGCTCCATCACACAAGGTGGTGCAGTGTCACTTCAGTATGCAAGATGGATGACATCCGTGGCAAATATTTCACACCAGAAGGAAACTTTTCTTCCTGTTTTATTTTCTGGTGCCACAGCACCAGATGCTGCCTGATAAATAGTAAGGATGATGTGAGATGAACTGCATTGGTGGGTCTCTGGTGAGCTGAATATTGGGTACTCCAAAAAAAATACTACTATTTTGATGCTATTGCTTATAAAATTATATTGTATCATTACAATTTTAGGGCATCCTTCTACAAAAAATCACCTTTATAAATGTGAAAAAAGTTTACATGTTTGTTACAGATACCTATGCCTTATCTCAGCCACTAGAAATCTCTTGTGTTCCACTTTGCAGTATAAAAATAAGGACTAAAGCAGAAATTTATATTTTAAAATAAAACCTGTAACCTAGGTAGTTTTGTTGTGTATCATGTATTTAGTGTCAAATGCAGCACAGGAAAGATTATCTGGACCCCACACTATTAATCACTATAATTATTACTGCATCTTGATGCAGTAATTTGTGAGGGAGCAAAAGTTGCTCTGATGTAAACAAATGGCTCAGAGGTGGCGAGGCTGAGCTTACTGTGTTAGTGGGAAAAATGTAATTTGCAGAGGAAAACTGATCTGAGGTTGAACTTTATGAGAGAAGACAGAGTTAAAATGGGCTGTGGATCTGGGACCGAGAAACACAGTTAGTGCAGTCAAACGGGAAGCAAAAAGGAGCCCGGTGAGATATTTGGCATCTAAAAAGATTGTACCCATCCTGGCTCAGATGTAGGCAGGCAGGAAGACAAGACAGATTGATTGGTGCACTGAATGGGGTCCTCAGTGCCTGTTAGTAAAGTACAGCCACCAGAACAGATAACAGGAGACCAGCAGGGCTGACAAGGAGTAGCTTAATGCCACCGCATCACCTACAGAAATGTATGGGATCTGGATATTTCTGAGATCCCTAATCACAGAGATGTAAAACTTATGAAATCAGCAGAAGGCTGGGCACAGCCTAAGGTGAAATGAAAGTCAGCCCAGGACCTCTACAAAATGGTCACAGAATCACAGAATCTCTAAGGCTGGAAACACCAAGATCACCCAGTTCAAGCACCAACCCATCCCCACTGTGCCCACTATGTCCCTCAGTGCCACATCCACATGATTCTTGGACTCTTCCACAGATGGTGACTCCATCACCTCCCTAAGCAGCCTGTGCCATCACCTGATCTCTCTTTCTGAGAATAGATTTTCCATAACAGCCAACCTGAACCTTTCCTGGTGCAACATGAGAACGTTACCTCTTGTCCTATTGTTGTTACCTGGGAGAACAGGCCAACTCCCACCACGCCACCACCTCTTTTCAAGCAACTGTAGAGAGTGATAAGGTCTCCTCTGAGTCTCCTCTCCTCCAGACTGAACAATCCCAGTTCCCTCAGCTGCTCCCCATAAGACTTGTGCTGCAAACCCCACACCACCCCACACCAGCTTTGCTGCCCTTCTCTGGACACACTCCAGAGCCTCAAAGACTTATAGTGAAAGGTCCAAAACTGAACACAATACTCGAGGTGTGGTCTTACCAGTGCTGAGTGCATGCACCACAGGAACACCAGGTTTCTAAGAGTCCACAATGAAGGATTCAGTGGCTCAAGAACAGTCACCCTCTGTAGAAAGATCTGGAGTGACTTTTTCCTCTTAATTTTGACAGGTTATACACAAACCAACGTTGGTGAAGCACTGGCTGCTGTGCACGGCTCCGAATTCAGTCAAACTACCATTTGCCGCTTTGAGAACTTGCAGCTGAGCTTTAAGAATGCATGCAAACTGAAATCAATACTGTCCAAGTGGCTGGAAGAAGCAGAACAAGTGGGAGGTAGAATTGAAATCCTCTATGTATTTACTGCAAGTAGATCACAATCCTATAAATATTTTGAAGGACTAATATGTGCCTTCCATAAACTGAGAGTTTTGCTTTACTAGCTTTAGATATTAAGGTGTGTTGATGGCATGTATTAAATTTTGGGTTTTTTGGGTGAGCAAAAAATATTTGGAGGGGCAAAACTATAAGGCATGGAGACTACAGAACTGCAGAAACACCACTTGCCTGCTGGAAGTCATTTTCTTCAGTCTTATTGCAGTGAGCTAGTTCCATTCCTGTACTCATAGTCATTACCTCTACTTTAGGATCTGCAGGGCAGCCCATGCAGCACTGAACTGGATTTCTTCACTAGCAGAGGACTTCCTGCAAGTGCCTAGCATTTAAGATGTGGGCATGGGGTGCAGAATTCATGTTCAGCTGAGGCAGTGCTCTTTAAAGCCCTGAAGAAGAATAGTATGGCATAGAGATTATTTTTTTTTTAATGTGATCTTTTTGCTGCTAGAGGATTCCCTTCCATTTGCCCAGTTAATTTCTATGAGTAGAGAGTTCTGAGGTTCCCTGGGCTAAGCTGATTGAGAACAGGTTGGCTGATATAAAGGAAACAGGTCATTTTAAGGGACAGCCTTTTCATCTGAATTCATTGAGACTGAACTGAGATGAGGGGCAGTGGCATGCCTGGAGGTGACTGAGAAAGCCAGGTCTGCTGCTGTGCAGCACTCACCCAGAACAGGAAGCAAGAGATTTAATACTGCCTTTTGGATTTGCCGTTACATTCAACAGTAGGAAACATTGTTAAGCAGCTGCTTCTGCCATGCAGTTCAGTTTCCTTTGAACCAAATGAAACCAGAAACTCTCCTAATGTGGTCAGCACACTGTAAGAATTACTTGTAAGGTGTTTGCAGTGTGTAGCAGCTGCTGACTTTGTTAGCATTGGTGAAGGCGTAAGCTGCACAGTAAGGAAAAGCAACCTTGCTCTAGAAAGCAAGGGCGGGGGGGATGAATAAATGGGATGGAAGGCAGAGCTGTATTTCTGAAGACAGTGAGATAGCTGATGGATATGGAAATGGATCCAGGTTGCATCCTGCTGCTAATGATGAGGAAAGTATGTAAAATCAGTGGAGTGACACGTCTCCCCATGTACGTGGGCATAGAAGCAGTGCCAGTGCTATTGCAGCTTTACCACTGGCATGCTGCTTTTGCTTATAACCATTTTCAGCTGGAGTTGAAATGACCAAGACTCTTAAAGTAAAAAGTATAACTCTGTGGTGCAGAGCTATACTTATTCTCCTTATTCAGTAGTATTACCTGTTACACTTTCTTCTGTCTTCAAACAAAGGCAAATTTTTTTTTCCAGTGATGACTGCACGCAGTTTCCGTCCCCTGTGGAAGTTAACTGCTCTTTTATTTTTGTTTATTTTGTTTTTAATACAGCTTTATACAATGAAAAAGTTGGCGTGAACGAGAGGAAGAGGAAGCGCAGAACCACCATAAGGTTATACATATTTATGGGGTTACATGTTAGAAATGCTTTTAGCTAAGAGGTTTCATTTTGGGGGGTTGAAATCAAAGCGTTGTTTTCTATTTGTGAATAGCTAATGAAGGATAAACTATTTTGAAGCATTTCAGTGAAAAATAAGAACACACCTCCCTATGAAACCCCAATGGGCTCCAAGTACAACACATTTCCCCATTAGAGACTTCTCAAAATATGACAACATACTTCCATGTGAAAAAACATTCCGATTCGGACAAAGTTTTACAATTTTGATATAGGAAATAAGTGCAGGCCACCCTTGTTTGTTTGTTTGTTTGTTTGTTTTTGTTTTGTTTATGGAAAGTTCTACATCATGTCAAATGAGCTTGCATGATTTTCCAGGAAATTAATATCTGGGACATCTGAGGGCATATTTTACAGGTGATAGTGGATCTCCACCTCTGTTCTCTGCTGCTGGATTCCTTAATTTCTTAGAGTTCCTAAGGAAGCATTTTCTTGAGCTGCATGAAAAAAAAAAAAAAAAAAAAAAAGAGAGAGAGAGAGTTGAGTTGCTAGGGAACTTTCTTCTCCCGTTATGTTTTTCATCTCAGGTAGCCAACACCTACCACCTGTCTAGCCTCAAATCCATACAGAAATTAAGTAGGCCGGTAATTAATCATAGAAATACAATTACCAAATAAGGAAAACAAAGAACATGACACAAGAGATGGTGAGGTACACCATTTTCTTTTCAGTATCCTAGACTCTTGTAATTGTTGGTGAAGAAGAATTCACTCAAGGGGGGGCCTCCAAGTAGCTGCAGCATTCTTCCATAGAAAGGGGATTTGGCCACTTTAGGGTGCAAACTTAGCACTGCGAGGCTCTACCTCTTGCAGCTAAGTGCCTGTTCTTTGAATAGCAATCACATCCTCTGTGCAATGCCATCTCCCAGAGATGTAGGCTGCTCTGTAGCCACTCAATCTGAGCCCCACAGTGACAACTCATACCTTCTTCTCTTACATATTCAACTTGAGCTTTGCTTTTTTGAATTATATTGCCTTTGATATAAGAAATAAAATGAAGATATGAATTCTTTCTGTCTTTCAAACTAGATCCAGAAGAGGATGCTTTTCAGCTAGGAGTGAACAGGGAATGTAAAATGTTTCATTGCTCATTTGCTAATCACAACACCTCACTAGGGACAAAACTTTACTCATGGAAGGCCATCCTCAACTTCTCTTCAAGTGAGAAAGGACTGTGCCAGACCCTTACCCACTATGACCTACATAGCTGTGATTTCAGAGCAACTCTGTTCAGGTGTTTCCCAAGATCTAGAGAAGCCTCCTGAAGATTTTTCCACTAACACTATAGGATTTGCTGTTCTTGTTTTATCACAACTGCTGAGGAAATCAAGCTTATTATTATTTCTGCTTTTATATCTATCCTCATTACACTAAGGCTATTAAATATGGCAGACTGTCAAGTGCACAGACCACTGAGTGGAAGCTCAGGACTATACCCAGTATATTAAAACATATAAAATGTTTACTATTTCTTTGAAGGCGTATAGGACATCAGTTTGAGGACTTGAAGGATCTGGTAATTTACAGCTGTGGAAGCTATTTAATTTTCTATTGTTATTAGAAGTTTAAAAAACTTTCAGTAAAAAAATAATCGTCGAATCACAGAATGGTTTGAGTTGGAATGGACCCTTAAAGGCCATCCAGTGCAACTCCCCTGCAATGAACAGCTTGATCAGGCACTCAGAGCCCCACCCAGCTTGACCTTGAGTGTCCTTATGGATGGGGCATCCACCTTCTCACTGGGCAACCTGTTTCAGTGGCTCACAACCCTTATTATAAAACACCTTTTCCTTATGTCCAGTCTAAGTCTCTGCTCTTTTAGTTTGAAACCATTTCCCCTTGTCATATCACAACAGGCCCTGCAAAAGAGTCTGCCTCCTTCTTTCTTACAATCCTGCTTTAGATAATGAAAGGCTGCTACCTGGTCTCCCCAGAACCTTCTCCAGGCTCTCTCAGTAAGGTATCTATACATCTCTGTGCATGTAGAACATAACGCTATTAATTAGCTGGTTTTGGCAATGTTGCTAAATATTGCAAAATGCACACACAAATGAAAGACCACCAACGTACGACATTTGAAATAGCAGGAACTCCAGCAGGTATTTCACACGTTTGCACATTATTTCCAGTATAATGCATAAAGCGCCCTCTTGTGTCCGAAGAAATTACAGCTACTGCTTAAGCCAACTTTGGTTGCGTCCTGTTGTGGCTATGTAAAAATGTTGCAGATACTTTCATTTCTGAGAACACATTAACAAAAATAGGAAGCAAATTCCATCTGACACTACGCAAAGATAATAGTCTTACCTTACCTTTTTTTTTTGGTACTGTTCAACTTTAGTCATTGCTGACTGAGAACAGGTTATAGCAGATATTTGATTTTTAGAAAACATAACTGCTAAAAACTGCTGTTGTCATCTCTGATTTCCAGAAGTACTACAGAAAAAGCCTGAATGTGTCAGAAAAGTTCCTAAAAGTGATATTTTGTCTCTTTATCCAGTATTGCTGCCAAAGAAGCCCTGGAGAGGCACTTTGGAGAACAAAGCAAACCTTCTTCTCAGGAAATCATGAGGATGGCTGAGGGGCTTAATCTTGAGAAAGAAGTTGTGAGAGTTTGGTTTTGCAACAGAAGACAAAGGGAAAAAAGAGTGAAGACAAGTCTGCATCAGAATGCCTTTAGTTCTATTATCAAGGAGCACCACGAGTGCCGGTAAAGCTTTTCCATGTGTAGCTGTGGATTTCTGTTCTGCTTTATTTTAAGTACTTTGTTGCTTAAAAAACAAAACAAAACAAAGCAAATGGTAAAACACTTGATTCCTTTACAAGCTAGACAGCTTCTGATGCAATTTGGTATAGAAGGCCTGATTTCACTGTAAAATGTTGAAGAAAAAAATGCTATTGCATATATCTGAAGTGTTGAAGGCCTAAATTCAAGGAAGCTATTAGGCATCACTCAACCAGAAATGCTTTAGAAATAGTACACGTAGTTGCAGTTTCCCTGTGCTGTGCCCTCACAGTCTGCACTGTACTGAATGATTAACAGGGAATCCCCATCGTAGGTACCCTAAGCATGAGGAAACAAATCCTTTGTGTTACTCATGAAGAAAGGTTACAGTGCTTATGTCAGCAGCTGTAGCTCATGAAAGATTTTTGCCTCAGCCTGTCTACATACTCAGCCTGTCTACATACCGTACCCCCAGCCCATCTAGCTATCTAATTGAGCTAACCTTTATATGATGAGCCATTAGGCACGTTACATGGTCCCACCCCCAGCATTGAGCACTGAGTTCACTAAATTAAACATCAAAAAGAAGTTAGAACTTCGAGGAAGAGGAGAACATGAAGAAGTGATCCTAAGCTTGCAGTGTTGATAGCGTTGAGTATCTATTTATGGCCAAAGATGGGATCCTGGAGGACTGTCAGTGAATGTGAGTGATCCAGGAAGGCAGTAGAGGAATGTGAGATGAGGACTGTAAAGCTGCCTTCCAAAAACTGGCTGATATTCAGGGACAAGATCACAGATGCTGTACATCTCCGACTGAACTACTTCAAGTAGTCTTGGGTCTTTTCAAATTGAAGATATGAAAGATGTGCCATAGATACTGTCTTTATTTATGGTAGAATAAGCTTACCAATACTGAGGTGTCAACATGGCTCCTCACATGTTCTTGGTTTCAGTGTACCACTGCCTTAAACAGGTGCTAAGTTCAAGTGACATTTTCTAATGCTAGTTATAAAAGGTATTTCCTGCCAATTCATTGCATGCCTTAAGGTTTGGTTTGAGTAGGTTTAGCTATTGCATTAAGAGTTTATGGCTTGATGGGAAAAAGTAGGGAATGATCACTTAATTATTACTTCAGACTTTCTCTGCGTTATATTTTTTTAAGATTAAATCCTTTTGTGGACACACTTAAATGAGAGAGTGTATTAAGTGAAAAAACAAGGCTTTTTTGCTTTGAAACAAGTAGCCAAAGCATTTACTGCACTGTATATTCCCACTCTCTCTTACACCCCAACAACTGAGAATAACCCCTTGTCATCCTGTAGCCTGGAGAGAAAAAATCAGGCAAAAAAGAGCAATAAAAACTTACAAAACAACCCCACGACAGTAAGCTAACAAAAACCAGTGACAGTGCCAGAGCTCCACCTATCAGAAAGCCAGACACCAAGAAACTAAATTAAGGACTTCAGTACTCACCAGGGACAGATTATCAAGCCATCTCATCAACCCTGCTTGTTGTTATTAAATAGCCCATTATCATATATGTATTTTACACTTCTCCCAGGACTGGAATTAAGTGAGTACAAGCAAGCAGTAATGGCCTGATAAATTTTATTTTTCCATTAAATAGACCTGATGATTTAGAAAATGTCTAAATAATAGGCCCACAGAAAGCAAAGAGGTTTACCGTTCAAGATCACTTAGAATCAGCGTGGACAAATTGTGTTTTCACACTCTTGCATGTTAAATTGTCTCTGACACCTATTACTGTGGCCATAAGCTTATTCAGCTGTGGAAGTTTGGCCTTGGAAATATATTTTTATGGATTAATTGCACTGCTACAACCCCTTAATTTAGAAGCAGATGCTAATCTAACCATTCAAATGGGAGAAATTATGCTATATACCCTAGTGGGTTAGTTCTCAATGCTAGCATAGCTCACCCACAGCAGCACAGACCACGCCTCTGCCTTTTTCAGTTGTGCGTGTGTTGACAGATCATAAGCTTTCCAACAGGATAAAAGATAAACACATTTGAGATGACTGGCACTCAACAGCATGCATTTCTGTACTTCTGATATTACGTAGTCTAGTGTTGTATGTATATTGAAACTACTGGCAAGTATGAGTTTTATTTATATTGTAAGTTATTTTATTGATTATAAAAGGCTTCCTAGTGACGCTGTAAGCCTCTATGTTCTCTTCCTCCCCAAATAAAGTAATCTTACACGTTCAGTTTTCCACATAATTGTTTGTAGTTCTCTTTCAGCAATACTTAACTTTTTTAGCTGTGAGTTGTACAGATTTGTTTATTCACTTTAGCATGCTGTAAGTTAATTCAAGAGAAATTCATGGAACTGTGATTTCTTGTCTTTCACAAAGTCTCCCAAGTGAAGGCTAATTGCAGAAGCTTAGCAAAATGAAATGAAAATTGGCACATAGTGCCATTTGTTACAGAAGAGTGACAAAAAAACTAAGTGGAAGAAGCAGTCACCACCTAAACACATCTAGCTGTCACCATGGAAATACTAACATCTCAGAGCAGAATCGGTTTAAAAAAAGGAAAGAAAAAAAAAATGCCTGGATGAAATCAATTTAATGTGCTGCAGCTGCAGCTGTTAGACTTGGAGAAAGTGGCAATTCAGAGTTTTCTCTAGGAACAAATAATTCACTGGCTAATTGCCATCAATCATTCTTGATTGAGGGAAAAGGCCCTAGATCAGATGCCTGACATTTAGTTAGCTTTATAAGCCTGCAAGTAAGTTTAGGTAGCTGCTTAACAAATATGGTTGTGCCATTTTTCTTTGAAGTTTTGTGGGTTCTTTTTTTTTTTTTTTTTTCTTTTACTTTGCCACTGGTAACTGTAAGAAACTTGTTAGAACATAGGACAAAACAAAACCTTCTGCTAATACCTATACCTGTGGTTCACCTGTCTCCTGAGTGATGTACGCTCTTATCACCCACATCTGAAGGAGACAGTGTATCTAGAAAAGGACACAGTATCAACAAAGCTATTGATCAAAGGTAAGTGGAATAATTAAGTAAGCTAGATTTTTATCTCTGAGATGTAATGTACATTGACTGTTATAGTGATCTACTGAATTACATGCTGTACAGAAAAGATGGAGACAGGTTGTTCACCACCCTGCATAATATAAAAACTAAGTCAACATGTAAAGTTAAACATAAAACAGTGATTCTCGGTGAGGTAAGGACTAGATTGTGGAATTCCTCTACTAGAAACTGTGAGTGCCAACAATTTATTCATGTCACTAAGCCTACAGAACAGAAAGCCACTCAAACTGCCATATACAGTAAAATTATGTACCCTATGGAAATAACTTTGATAGATGACTACTAATCTCTCCCCCAAACTTTATTTTCTTTATCTTGTTCTTTTGTTTTCTTGGGCACTGCTTACAGGCACAGTGGAGCGGGATTCTGTGTGACATGGACTGTGGTCTGCCTCAGTATAGCTGTTTTTAGGTGCATCAAGCAATTGTGCAGTTCTTTCTGGATAGAAGACTTTCAGTTCCTGTTAAGGTGTGAGCAAGGATAAAGGAGTATGAGGGACTGAGTTGGTTTCTTTGTCATTTTAGTTTACTCAAAATAATATTAAAAGAACTTGTTTCTTAGTAGGGAGATGTAATTTGGTTACAGAGTGCTCCAAAATATGTAACTAACTATAATTGAAATAAATATAACTAAACCTACAAACACTTTATTCTGCTACTAAGATTTTCATGTTAATTAGGGCTGCAGAACTTTGGATAACTGCCTCCAGAAACACTGCATAGATCTTGATGATGACTTCAGATAAGCAATCTTTCTGATGCCAAATAGTAATGCCTTCATTACTGTACTTCAAGGACCTTAAAGATACAGGAAAAAGCTCATCACTGAAGTTTTAACATCACCCAATTTTAACAACTACTGAAAGAATAAAGTACGCACTTCACTCAGAAGGGACACAAATCTTGGTCTTCAACCAAAATACAATCAATTACACTTTATACCTAACTTCACATTAGTTTCTCCTCCAATGCCTAGGAGTAGAAACTCCTTTTCAGAAGGAAGGAAATGCAAACTTAGTCATAATCTGTACTTAATGTTGAGTCAAAGGCCCACAGACAGAACGTTTACATCTTCCATAAACGCTCAATAAATGTTATGCTTCTTTATTGCTTGGGTCAAAGGTAAATTTACGTTTAAGAATGGGGCTATTAAAAAAAAAAAGAAAAAGAAAAAAAAGTTGTATAATTTGGATAGCAGGTTACTCAAAAGCTTTGGACCTTACCTGTTGTCTTTGCGACTTTAAGCTTGGATTTTCACACTTTAAAAGGCAAGGAAAGGAGAGATACTGAGTAAGAGAACAGAGTGGCACTGCGTCAGTGGTTTTGCTTTTGTAGCTGTCGAGCCCAAAGGAGCTCCCCAAACTCCCCAAAACCAGCAGTAGGAATGGTATCAGAAATCTTACAGGTGCTGAAAAGTCAGTGGCAAGATAACAGATCTAACAATGCAAAGAAAAACCACCAAGAGAAGGATGTGTAGGACTAACTTCTAGAGGACAGAACCACTGTGGAATAAAAAAAACCCCTTTTATTAGATTTTTACAAAATAACTTGTTTTAAAAAAATCATTTTAGAGGGATAGGCAATATATAAACTTAAATGTTCATATCCACTGCCTCACAAATTAATAGCACATTCCTTACTCTCTCTAATTGTTATCAACATCCGTGTAAAAACAAACAAAAAAAAAGACATATGAAAATTCACCTATGCTTTTTTTGTCTGCTGATTTGAAATGTAAAGCAGATGGTGCAACAACAGTAGTTGCACAGAAGTTAATGTTTCCTCTTGCACTTTCTCTAACAGCAGTGTTTTCAAGCAACTTGTACCTCAAAGTTTTTCTGTTTTCAATCTTCAGAGGTATTTTACTTTCTTCTTTGTAACAACAGTGCTTTTTTTGTTTCTGTTTGCTGAACAGCCCC